TTGGCTCGACAGACTTTGTTTCTCCTGCTCTGACGGGTAGGCGTTGAAGCGGTGCTCGTACAGCCAGCTCTTGAGAATCTGCACCGCCTCCTTGGGCAGGTTACCACGGCGACGGCGCTTCCCAGAGAGCCCCCTTCCTGACAGGTCGAGCGGGGAGCCATCATCGCTGTCCGCTGAGGTGTGCTCCTCATGCTCCGGGCAAGTATCCTCTGCGCGAGCTGAGAGGAAACAGGCAAGACGTCAGTCATTTTGACTTTTACACCCCTGGCTGACTTGGTTTGTAGGAGGTAGTCCTTATAAAGTATTCTGATTCTGATGTTACCCATCACTTATTCTGGCTCATGCATGGTGTGGTGTAGGCACAGTTCTTCAGACACCAGGTGAACAAACAATAAAGGAAGGTAACTGTTTGATCAAGCACATAAAAGTAACAGTACTTGTTTACTGCTATTTTTTAAATTATTACATTGTAACAAACAGATTTACAAGAGCTTTGTGATATTGTGCTACACGTGCCTTGCAAAAAAAGACTCTTATGGTTGGCACTGGAGGGAATCTCCCCTCAAAATGGAGCATGCCTGATCCCAGGGGTGGGCAAGTGAATGCAGTAAATGTCCTTCTGTGGGGCTGGGTGAAACCTGACCCCCGGGGGTAGCGCCTGTCCTCACAAAGACATTGTGGCCATATCAACATCACAGTAGCTAGTGGCCCAGGAATCTATTGACAATGCAAAGCACCTCGAGCCGATTCAACTGAACGCTGCTAGAGCAGCTGACAAACCTGCATTCCTCCATTTGCCTAAAAAATAAAAGGTAAGGAGGGCAATAAAACAGCTATTACTATTAATAAAAACATTTCAGACAGCCCGACTCTATGAATGGGATAGATGTTTCAAAAAAACAGCCTTAATGTGGTCAAACTGGGTCTGACAAAAAACAGGACTTCTCGCCTGACACAGATTTGAGGCATTCCCTGCAGTGCCCCGAAGAGGCGTGACGTACGTGATACTACAACTCCACTGGCTCACGGCACGGACCTTTTAAGATCTACAACAAAAAAAACTCTCCAAACTATCTTACTGACAGCAATCAAATACAATTCAGTGCAGGGCTGGCTTAGTAAGGCTTCATTCCGATAGGCCAGCTTGTCACATCAGCATCACGCTGATCAACTTGTGTTTACAAAATGTCCTCTCTACCTTTGTAGGCATCTGGAGCTCGGGGTCGCCTTAGAAAGCCTTGAAAAAGTAAAAAAAGTTTTTAATACATGGTCACGGCCTCAGGCTGCTGAGACCGTAAAAAGAAAAAAAAAATCTGATCGCCCAGCTATGCACAACAGACCGCTTTGTTAGAGAAATTAGGATGCATTTCAAAATACAAAACAAAAAACCCCACTACTTGCATAAAATAAAACATGACCAACCTGGGGGGAAAACGGGTAAATTAGCCATGTGGAAGGCACAAAAGGAGGCGAGCAGGGACGCACAGCCTCCCCGCATGTCGCTCCGCCAGATGGACACCATGCCTGCCTCCAGAGATAACTAGCTGGCTAGCTGTCCCTCCAAATTTCAACACAAACACACGCTGCATTTGCTCGCAACAAAAAACCCCGCATACCAGCCAGAGTCAACAGCGAAAAGCCACGCAGGGGCTCGTAGGCAGACACTCCGCTGGCGAGAAACGGACACGGCAAAAGACGAGTAGCGCTCACCTCTTTTGACTGCTTTCATTCTTTGTCGATAGCTGTATGGAAAACACGCAGCTGTCCAAGTTGCTCGTTGTTACAAAGCGTGCCCGGGAGCCAAACGATGGTTGACACAGCGACACTTTCTTCCAAGGCGCCGAAGGTGTTGGTGCTCTCGTCCCGACTCCAAAAAAACTAAAAGCCGTCGCCGCTAGAGTTGTGCCGCACGGAGATGAGGAGAAAACAAAAGTCACATTTCCAGCGCACTCTTTGCTTTCTTGCAAAGATAAATGTTGGCAGTCTTCTGTCGCTCCTTCCTTTTACCTGCAGCGGTTTGCTAATCTTGACAGTCCGTCCCACCCCTTTCACAGCTGTCGGCCAATCGCGTCGCGGCGTTTATTCCTAGGCGAACATGCGCCAATCGCGGCGCGTTTTCAGGCAGAAGACGGACTCGGTGTCACAGTGAGTGACGGGAGAACCATTTCATTCAAAATACAGCGCAGTCATTGAAACATTCTTATTATCTCGACACGGTTAAAACCGGAGGGGAGCAGCCAACAACCCAGTGGTTACATTGACACAAGCGGGATTTATATATAACAACGGTGTAATCCCTTCAGACCACTGTGGTCATTTTATTATCGTCTCTAGGGGATAGCTTATATCTCTGTTTGAGATATGTAAAACATAACACAAAAACATAAGCGTCTTAAGAGTTGACTGGTGAATTATTATTCATTTCGCTCGGTTTCTGTTCAAGCCCGAGAGGCTCGTTTGACAAAAATGGGACTGTTTCTCTTTTTCTCGACATCTGTGGGAGACTCAAACTCCTCCAGAAAATAAGCGGGAGTTTTGGTTTCTGTGAGATTGATAGCACAAACAAATCAACGTAAGATGACTGTAAATGAAGACTATAGATCATAGTATGTTTTCGGTGTTAAAAACGATTTTTACACTTATTATTTACAATAAAAAAGCAAAGGAAATCACATTTTTAAAAGAGCAAAACACTAAAATAAAGGCAGCCATGATGACGTTTTTGAGAAAGTACTGTGTGCATTTATTGAATTTTAGGTCTCTGCATTATACATTTGAACAACCTTGAAATAGTATAAATAGCTCTACAGCATTGTAAAAGATGGGGATTTTAGTCCGACTTTGTTCTTATTTACAGAAGACATTTTTAAGAAGCACGGGGGAGAAATGCAAGATTATTAGTTTCGTCTTAATATCAAACAACCCTTTTACTCAGTATTGCGCATATACTTTAAATATTACCAGAGTATAGTGACAAGAATCTAGGTAAATCTCACTTTATGAGCACATCCACTCACTCACAACTTTGTCTCAGACAGCACAACCAGTTTTACTAAACCCACAGACCTCGAATTACACACAGCCTATAAGAGTAGTTTAAAGAACAGATTTAAAGTATGTGCTTGCTTCATAAAGTATTTCTTCTAGGATTTGTACAGACACTTTTTGCTACATCATATCTCTCATGTTTAAAAGAGTATTGCCCCTGCCCTTCACCCCCTTTTTCCAGTTATATTCCAAAGTCAGAGAAACAATGAAGGGATACGAAAGAGCTTTTTGTCCTCCCCCCCTCTTCAGAGGACTGCGTGGGGTTAGTTTCACTAGATTCACACTGTCTGATGGAAACACATTTAAATGTGCAAACATGTATCAAACTTGGATTCCCAAAATGAAACTTTTACCCTTTCACAGAAAAAAAA